CGTCGAACTTAATTACAGCTTTGCCATGCAGTTTACGTTATACGAGCGAACGTTGCGACTCAAAACAAACAGATCATCCGCGCCGACGGAGAGGAAAAATCAACAATATAAAAATCGTTGCCAGACTGGAAAACACGGCACTGTGAAAACAAGCAACAATTTTAGCTGTTTAGGTTGGGGCTCTGTGAATCTGTGGCAAAAGTACATAAAAACACGTTTTGCAACAATGGAAGTAAAAACGAAAAATAATTTTGCTCTTTTTTACGTTCTTTACCAAGCTTAAAATAATTTATGGCGCTGCGCTCCAGATCCTTTTTATTATTTTAAAATTACAATCTTTCCTCTACGGACTGAAATCCACGCCAAATTATCCTAAACCATTGATTTTTTCAATATATAATTTTTCCTAAATAATTATTTTGGTTCTTCTTTGTTTTTCTCTGAGCTAAAAGAATATGAATTTTTGCAGCGATAAAAAAATTTATATGTATAGTATGATTTTTTTATTTTTCCCACCCGTGTATAATTTCTTTCCCGCAATCATGCTGCGTCCGTGCTCTTGAAGGAGAGGCTCGTCTCTGTCATTATTAAAGGACTTGAGTGTTTTTCTTCTTCTTCTTTGCCACGGATAAAGCGGAACAATGGCGAAATTGTGTTGTTCATCCCCTTTCACTTTATTTCTTGATGCGCCGTCGACGGAGATTATCTTCTCCACCGAGAGTGCACCAAATTGATTTGCCCCCGCTGCGCTTTTGCATGTCTAAGTTGCGTTTAATTCATTCGCAGCGCGGCCTTGTCCTCGATGAACCATCATTACCATGCACAAACGAGTTGCAATATCTCGCAGTCTCCACGCCCTGTTGTTTATTGCGACAATTAATGGTGAGAGGGGCTATGCATCATCGCCATCAGTCTTTGCGGTAAAATGCGCGTGACATTTAATCCCAATTGTGATTTGCAACGCGATGGCGATGGCTGTGTGACATTTGATCAAAATGAAATATACAATTGTGCCGTTTCAAGAGTTTTCTATGTTGTAATAATTTTAATGAGTTCCAAATTCCCTCTGAATATTTCAAGAGAAAATGTTAAATTTAAACGCACAATTTTTGTATAAATTCAAATTTTTTTAATAAGTTTTGGAGAAATAAAAAATTTAAGGTCTGAAATTGCCCTCTTTAAAAAAAAAAAATCTAAAAAAAGATTTATAGGGGAGAAAAAGTCGGAATAAAACACAAACAAACATAGAGATGAAAATTTTGGGGATGGCAGAGTTTGGAGCGTATTTACTTTGTGATATCCTAAAAAAAAGTATGAAATGATTTATTATAAATGACGCTAATGTTGGTACATTTTTTAACTTCATTATGCATTTTGGCCCTAATGCAAATAAGATTTATATATATGGTACGCCTGGATAGGTCTACTTTAAATGTTGGCCAGTGTTCTTTATTTCGCTAACCGTAGCCCCAGTTTTATAGAATAGCAATCCTCGGACCGTGACTGCCATGCAGCCTATCAAAATCTGCAGGGGCTCGTTCAAAGTAGATTGGGTTTTCTCGTTTTAGTTCTGCCAGCAGTGCCAGCTATTTGCTGTTGTTCACGTCACGGCAGCCCAACAAGTAGGTCTCAAATCTGAATTTTCTAAGCTACTTGTGAGAACGAGACACGTTTCAAATTCCAACTAGAATCTTGTTTGGCTCGTTTTTATCTCTTTTTATTAGTTTTGCCTGCTTAAGAAAATCCTGATAGAATTTGATTATCATTATTGTATACCTATAAGCAACATAGTTTAAATTTAAAATTATAAGAATTTTGGATCATATGGAAGATAAAAACTTTTCTAGATTAAAAAAAAACCCTGGGAATTTTCTGATTCATTCTTTATCTCTCAATTTTAGCGAAAATAGAACTGATAAATTAATTAATTTAAAAAAAAAATCAAGAGGCAGCTTGATATTTATATTGAGTTTTTGGAACGTTCCGGATAAAGTTTTTCTTTAAAAAAAAAAAATAGTTCAGAAAGATGGCAAATGGCAATATTGACAATATTCAACTAAATTTCAAATTTTTCCTTCAATATAAAAGGCAACGCAGCGGTAAGGAACGATGTGTGTGTAACAGGTTTCTCATTTTGATGAAATGTCCCTTTGGCAAAAATGAAAGAAAATTTCACCATACATCCAAGCATGTGTCTATTTTTTTTTTTGTCAGACGTCGTCTCATTTCCCGTGGCGCAGAAAAAACCCAATGCGAAAAACCATTTATATTTTTGTGCGAATTCGAGTGACTGCAGCGGCCAAACTGATTCCCATCTGTTGACTCTCGCCAAAAGAGAGTCATTTCCCAGAAGCGTCAGCAGAGAGGAGCATTTTTCGCTAAAAGCCCAAGTCCGAGCTCTTTTGCAGCCATTCCCTCTTGTCATTTTCCACTTTGCAAAGTTACCTGCGGAACGGCCGGCCGTACACCCGGGAAACGGCTGATTGTGCGACACCACCTGCGAACCAACCAGACCGTGCGCTGACCTCAAGAGGGTTCTGTGTAAAGTTTTGAAACTCGCGGCTCGACTGAGATATGCTTTGCTTTCTACAACTAAAATCAAATATTTGGTTTTTTGTAGAAAAACCACCCACCAAAACCTTTTCGACCGTTGAAACAAAGATGCATTTTTTCAATTTCAGAACAATCAGAACTAGGCTTTATTTTCACGTAATAAATGTAATTTTCGTGATTTAAATTCAGTTTTCGAACAAAATCTTTTTTAATTTAAACATGAATTGTGATAGGTATATAAACAAAAAGCACTGTTGAAAAGAAATATTAACTTGATTTTAAATTAGTGTTAAGTTTCTAACATTAAGTCCCAATATCTGAAATTTATAAAAAATAAAAAAATTCCAAAAAGTAATTAAAAATTTTATCAATCTGGGATCTATCGATTTTCAAAGGAAATGTTTGGCTTTTTGAAGGAAAGAAAACTGCAAAAAGAAATCCAGTATTCACCATTAGCGGACCAGCCTCTTTTCCCGAAAGGTTGAGTCGTTTAATGTGGGCTTCCTTTTATCATTTCCTTATTGTCGAAAATATTCGCCCCTTCCAACAATGAACATTTATAGAGCTCGCATGTATTGAACACGAATGAAAGGGATCTTTTTAAGAAAATATTTCCTCCATTCCCTTTACGTTATTGTAAAATGGTGAGAGTCGGAGAGACGCTATTTGAGGCCAATTCGTGGTGTTCTGTGAACTTACGAGGAAAGTCCTCACAGGGTCTTTATTTGATACCCTTCCGAGTGGGTGGATGATGGTTGTTGATATCGCAGCGATTGAACTCAAGAAAACAAATTAAATTTGCCGAAAAACTGCTCCTTTGAATTGGTGCGATGAAAATAGCTACAAGAAGTAGTGCGACGTGCGTGGGATTTTAAAATAATTCTCTTTTGCCTATCTCAAGTTTTTTGGGGTTTTTTTGCAGGAAAAATTATATTTTTAATCAATGCGAGAAGAGATTGCGCTTTGTGTGCAAATAAAGCATGGACTTCAAATGCCAAGAATACATAAATAATCAAGAACAAAATAATTTTTTATTTCAATTGTTTATACTATTCAGACCCGTGAAACTAATTTGACCTGTGGTAATTTAAAGTACGTGATTTTCCATGAAATGTGTTTAATTTTTTTCTCTTCCGTAAAGAAGAGAGTCGCGTACCTTGATTTTATTCATGAAGTTACATAGAATTATCATTATTTTTGTTCCTTCCTCATAAGAAGAAAGTTTTAAAAAAAAATGCGGAGCTTATAATTTTCTTAAAGAAATATATCAAAAACTTTCATCAGTATTTCCGGCCTGATGAAATTTCATGCCGACGTCTGCAGGATTTGTCAAGAGACACTTATGAGGTGTGTAGGTGTGAAAAATTGTGTGTCAAGAATATTTCAGTAAATCCAATTATTTCATGCGGAAAATTGAAAAATTAATTTTCCTGGAAGTCAGGCCAACCAAAATTATTGAGAATTTCCCGAAATTAATTATTGGAAAATTATTCTCATTTGGGTAGGTGAACTTGAAATTTAATAATGAAATTTCAAGAATCGAGATTGTAAACAGATAAGTGGAAATAATAATTATGAATCTGGGAATTGTTAATCCATTGCTTTTTACTATAATTCAGCATCAGGGAATTATAAATATTTCTGAGCCGAGAAGCATTGAGCTCGAAAGTCAAAAGTCATGTAGAGAAATCGTTAAAAGCTAATTATATGTATTTTGTGATGAACTTAAACTTAATTAAACATATTATTGAAGTTCAGGACTTATAAGAACCATGAAACAATGCAGTCATAATCTTATAAAAGAGACTGAAATTTTATAAAATATTTTATCAGACTCCGTTTTGAAAAAGATCAAACAGGTAAGACTAGATAATAAATATTCGATCCACAGCTAAAGCTCAACTGCAGAAAATCATTGATAGAAATATAATATCTTCTAGCAATTCCTTCAGATTCTTCGATCACTAAAACTGAGTAGAACGGTTCTGCATATCTAACGTTTTCTGTATTGAACCTAGGAAAGCATATTTGCTGAAATCTAACATTAAAATGTGCCATACTTGTTTGACACCTTTTTCTTTAATTGCTATAGAGCTAAAGAAAACAGTAAAAAAGGTACAAGTTTTACGTTTTAAGAATAAATTTTTGAATTTAATCAATTGTTCAATTAGAGCAATTCAATTTAATATCAAAATTAGAATTGATCCGAGTAAATACAAGGTGATTAAATGTCCTAAACGTAGCTAATGAATGAATCGGAATGAATAAAAGAAATTAAATATTTTTAGGACAGTTCTGTTAAATTTTTAGGGTGAAAATATTTAAGCAAACGCTGACGCCTTCGAACTATAAAAACGCGCACGACATGCAATTTTTTGGCACATCTGTGAGATGAGTGAGCCGTGTGGCTGCTCAACAAGTGTTTGTTCCGATCTTTTTGCACCCACCTGGACTTATTGCTGCTCCGAGTGCCACGACAGTGAAGACGGTTGTTGGCCGACCGACCGATGTGGATCCTTGTCGAGGGTGGAATACGCGGACGGAGGGTCGCTCGGCTGCGAGAGACCCTCGGCAGGGGCACATGCGCGCAACAGGCAGCCACGCGAAGAGGAAAGCCGCGAGCAGTCAGCGCCTGCACAAATGGGAAGGAAATTTATTGCCCAGAGATTTGATCAAATCAATCCGAGTCGGATGCGTCTTCCGCTCCCACCTTAATGGTACAAGAAAGGAAATCCCATTAGGACATTACTTCTGCGATCATGAAATTTGTATGGCACGATCGAAGCCCAAATTGAGATGAAAGAAAAAAAAATCAATTTACTTTTTTAAAACTTGTGTATAGGTTAAGGACTTCATTTATCATAGTGTCGTAAACATGATTTGTTTAATAAATTTTAAGAAACTTAATTTTTCTCAAAGTTGCACTTAAAATTCGGATTTCTTTTTTTAATAAATTTTTTCCTTTTAACAATTCCCGGTAGGATTTCTCCTTCACAAACTTAAAAGCATCATTATTTACCACGTCAATGCCAATTTTCCCAAATGTCACCAAATTCTGCGAAAAATTGATGTTTGGATTTTTTTTATCTTCTTTCATTAGAGCAACTGGCGTTGTCTGCAAAAATGGGCAAACTCGGCACTCGGCTTGAAACGTAAGAAGATTCTGCTGTTGCTTTTCTTTTGTTGTTTTGTGTACGTGAGTTGATTCTCTGTCTGCTCTTATACGTTGTCTGGTCTTAATAACAACTTGAAAACGACGAAGACGGCGCGGATCGCGTATTCGTTTTGGGAAGAACGTGGCTGGAAATTCGACTCCTAATTAGAAGCCACGCGAGTTTGAGAACGTTGAGAGCAAATATAATACTGCTGAAATTCCCTCAACAGTTTCTATTGCGCCACAGCCATGTTATCTTTAGGTTTTAGGTGCGCAACCGACGTTTCAATAATTACAAGAGAAGTTAATTTTCAATAAGCTCGTTTGCTTTCGCTTTTGAGTTGCTTTAATTAACTATTGATTATTTGTAGCTTGCAGTTAAGTTTTTTTATATAAATTATAATTTGAATGTTAATAAACTAAAATCTGTAGAAATCTTCAAATCTAATATAATTATTTTTTTGACATTCATTATTAAGATTGAATTGTTCGAATATCAAAAATGGCTGGTGTTATATTTTAAATTGTAAAATAAAAAAATTAATATCAAAATTAATTCCTCACCGACTTCATGGCGTGTTCTACTCAGAAACCGACCTAATTTTAAATTTCAAGAAACTTTTTTCTTTGTTGCTTTGCCAATCAGTAGAAGCAAACAATCACATTTTTATGTTTTGAATTAAGGCGACAAAGGTGACAAATCTCTGTGTAGTCCAAAAAGTTATTGAAAATGAAGGTAATTAAAATAAAATGAACCTTTTTATTATTGCTCATTAAATGATAGTAGAGATTTTATTCCCAATTCTATTTTTTTTTTAATGTTTTACTTTTATATGCTTCCCTAAAACCATAATTTTTTTCCAATTCTCCACAACCCGCCGAATGCTGTTGCAAAGCAAAATTAAATCCTGTTGCTCGCGTGAAAAAGCGGCTGCCCAATTTCTTGTTTCGCTTGTCTGAAAAACAACAGATGCGTGCCAGCGTGAAAGGAGAACATTATTTTTACTCTGGGTCTAAATTGAAATTCCTCCTCTTGCGAGAAGAAGAGAGTTGCATTATTATATTTATTATCTTTGTGTACAACACGCGGCATTCTCTTTTGATTCTCACAATTGCTTATTATTGATTCTCAAAATGCCATTTTTATTTTATGAATTATTCCATTTTATTATTAACAAGTGAAAAGTTTATTTGATTAAGAAAATGAATTATTTACTTCGTTTAAAAAATGATCACTAATTGTTCTAGTTTTATTCAATTTTTACTCCCGCAACAGGCGTTCTGAGCATATGAAATTTGCATGATGCTCAGTTTGAGGAAAAAATTGGTGCTTGCTTTTGACAAGAGCCGATTTTTCTCATTTTGAACATAAGCAGCTTTTCCACAAAACCGCCAAGGGAAACATCTTTCATTAAAAAGAAAAATAAGTGCCTTCTAATATATACCGGATAAAACTTGACTGCTGGTTTTAGTGTTGCTTTTAAATTTAAAAGTTTAATAATTAAAAATTTCCCCCAGAAAAGCGTCCCTCTTCTTCCTCGCGTGTGAATTTTGCTCACCTTGTCCTTGCGTTTTACTTAGCGTTCTGTTGCGTGGGCAAAGTTGCCAATTATGCGCGCGAAAGCTGCTCTGCTCTCTCTGCTTGTCTCGCGAAACAAACACGAGAGCGAAAGGGACGCCTTAAAACGCGCGCCGGTAACGCAATTACCTGTAACAGGGTTTCCAAGACGCTATGAGCGTCAACACCTATTCGCGTGGTGAAAGAGACTTTTCACGACCTGCTTGCTTTGGAGCGCTCTAGGTGCACTCTAAAAATTCTAATTAGGGAAGCCTGAAAAGAATGTAAAATTTTCTTTGGAGAGAATTTTATATTTTTTAGGTAATATTTTTTTAAATTAGCAATTTTTATCAAAATCATTAGGAAAAATGACAAGGAATTGGGGTTTTAAATTGAATTTCTTTAACTTTTAAAAAACAAGAAGTAATGCTGTGTCATTCATTTTGAAAATTACAGTTTTGCTTCAAACTTTTCATTTTTAACAACTCTTTTTGATTTGATAATTGCGGTTATTTAAAAAAAGAGGCAAGAGTACCCAAAATCAATGAAAACCTTACTTATGTAACTGCCTAAATTGTATATAATACACAACGAACAAATTTTACTTGCCAATATATTTGATTAAAATTTTGAAAAACTTTAAAACAAAAATAACTTCATATTCCTGGCTAATAATTTAATAAAATGCAACCTGCAATACAACATCAACAAAAGTCCCCCATAACGTGAAAAATTATTCGATATTAGATTTCAAATTTCAAAGTAGCAATTATTTGTAAGTGTAACCTGACCTGGATGCAAATCTCGCGGGTATAATATTAATTAGAAAAGTTATTCTGACATATATTACCTATACAACGCAAATCTACGCTACCGGCCAATTAGATAATTTTAGAATATTATCTAGTTTACTTCCAATGAGAATTAAAATCTCTATATCTTCCTCAATATTTGCACTCGGGATCATTATTATTGCGTTTTTGAAAAACAGATTAACATTTAACTATTCAGAAAATTTCTCTCTAAAATCCAATGCCAGGAGGAAATAACGTGAACATGGAAAACAGACACCAAATTTAATTCAGCCTATCAGAAAAACTTGCACCTGTGATTAGTAAGACAAAAGATAAATATTTAAAAATATTTGCTACTTCTGCAGCTCAGGGAAAGAAAAAAGGCGAGCAATTGATAAATAAAGTAAAAATTTCAACCTCAAAAGGCGATTAAATTTTAAATTTAAAAAAAAAATTAAACTTTTCACAGGAAACCCATTTTTATTTCATTTTTACTAAACAACTCGTTTAGTTTGTAACGTACCCCGCAAAATTTGTACCAATTTTATATTACAACTTGAGGAATCCCTCTTTGACAAATTCGTCAAAAACCACTTTTCTCTGCTCGTCGGTGAGCGGCATCAAGGGCTGTCGACACGGGCCCCCGTACAACTGCCCCCCGGCGTCCATCACCGCCTTGGTTGCCGGAACTCCCCACATCCTGGTAATCTGCAGATGAAAGTGTCACCATAATATCTCACATGAGACACGACAAAAAAGGCGCTCAAAGGCCCGTAAAAGTGGTCTTTTAGGGCTCTACTTTCACTCACCAGAGCGTTGGGCCGCATGATTTTGCGCTGCAGCTCGGCCGCTTCTGCCATCCGGCCCGAGCGGAAGAGACTCACCAGTTGGCACAGCTCTTGGCCGTTGGTGTTTGCAAAACCGTTTATCCCACCAACGCACCCTGTTAAATAAATTTCAGGCAAATTTTATTGGAAAAAACTAAGCAGGATTTTAAGGAGACTGCAAAGTGATTTTTATTCTTGAATACAAATGTAAGCAGAAATTTTTATTTGTGTGTGTCCATTGGTATGTGCTAGAAACTTTGAGTTGCAACTTGTTGGTTTCTCATCTGGCCATGAGATTCCATCTCAATGACGTTATTTCCTATATTTATTTCTTTTTCTCCATTCGATACAGTCATGATTCATGAATACACAGTAAAAAACTAAATTTAAATGTATTCAGATATAGCTTTGAAAAAAAAAATTATTGCACATCCAAATTGTTGTCCTTGCATGATTGTGTTGTCAAAGTTCAAAACTTTTTCCTTTTTAAACTATTTTAATCGGATTGAATAATTTTATTGCTTTAAAAATGTATTTGTTCATTATTTCACGTGATAAAAAGTCTGAATGGTTTTATACATAAATTGATTTCTAATTAATTATTAAGATGTAATAATTGTCCTTTAAGGATAACGACGCATAGACAAATTTTTTTCAAAATGAAAAATTATTAATAATTACGTTGTCCACTATGTGAATATACATTATTTTACACAATTTTAGTATAAAAATAATATGATGCAAAGTTTGAAAGCACTTAAGTCTATTAAATTTAATAAATAACAAGAATTAAAAAAAAATTATCAATATATTTAAAATAAAAAATTACAAATTAATGTAATTAAAAAAAAGTGTGTAAATTTTAAAAGATTGTAATATTTGTTACGTTTTGATCCAGCTGTAAGATTTAATTTCTAATTATGTTATTTCCTCTAATGGTAAGATTATGTCGATAAAACTTGAGGGAAGTGTAATACTCAATTAACTGAAGTAGTAACTTGCTTATTTGGTCAAATATAGTGATTTAGCAAACAAGGCAGACACACCTCATTATCGCAATTAATTTTATTTTACTCAACGTCTGAATATTTTAGATAATCTTCAAAATTTCTTTGTAAAGACTCGGACCTGAGAAACAATCCTATTTAAAGCTGTAAACCTGCAGTAAACTTAGAGCTCCCTTTTCAGTTCAAAATTCTTTTTAATGAGAGGCATAAAAAGTAAAATTTAATTTTAGCCCTGCGCTTCGCCTCTCTTTTAGAATCAAATTTCACCACCAGAAATTTTGTAAGCGTAATACGCTGACGCCATGGCAACTAATTTGTGCAAGTTCGCGCAAGAACCAACACATTAACACAAGGCTCTCGTCAGATTAAAAGGATTATCAAAGGAAACAAACACATACGAGCAAAAGCTTGAATGCAAAATATAATTCTAGCATGCTTGTTCAAATTATTCTCCAAATTGTGAGACTAAAATAAGTCAGCGTGGGTGAAACAAATTTAGACCACTCATTTTACAAAGAACGTTAGTGGAATATTTAACATTTAATTTATAAAATGAGCCATGAATTTTTTATTTTTGAGTAAAGAGTAAAAAAAATATCAAAAACTCACCAACAAGGAGAGCTGGCAGAAGCAGGCCAGCCGATCCAGACAAAACTTGGAAGCTCAAGTCCTTTGTCATGTGAACCACTTGCGCCATTTTTCCTACCTGTGCGGAGGAAGACAAAAAAAGATGAGTTAAGAGGTGCATGATTCTGTCTTTTTCTCATTTCTGTACCGCCTCTGGGGAAAGATTAGACTGTGAGATGAGCCGCCCGAAAAACTTCAAAGGAAAAAAAGCGGCTGTATTGCCAGCGATATGAAAAAAGCCGTATATTCTTATTCCAAGCACGCAATATACGCTTAGTGACGGCCGCACTTTGTCAAGCAAAAACATTTTAAATATTAATGAAAATGGAAAATTCCCTTTTCACACCTGGAGCGAAATAAAAGCAATATTTTCTGCAGAGAAATTTTGTAATGTTTCTTGTCTGCTGCTTACAAATTCAATGAAAGTTAAATTGATTTATTTACTATTCAATGGTTTTCCTTTTACATAATTTTAATTTGTTATGATAGTAGTGTCCATAAAGTTCAATACTAAGTATATTATTATCGATCAAAAAATTTTAAGTTTTTAAGTTATTTTAAAAATTAAAAAAATATTCATGACTCTCTTCTAAAGGTTGATAAATTTTCATTAATTATTACTTATGATTTTTTTCTTATATGCACTGGAAGGGTAAAATCTTTAAACCTTTTTTACATTAAAAGATAAAAAATAAAATATATTTCTTAAGCTTGTGCAACAAAAGCATAATCGTCTTTTCTTTTCCCTCTCTCCTGGATAGACTGCGTAATAACAGCTGGTTAGATAATATAAAAAACTTACGTCAGCTCCGCTGTCCTTTAAACCGATGATGTTGGGGTGTTTGGCGAGTTTTGCGATCAGAGCGGGGTTCAGGTCGATGCCCGTGTTACCAGGCATGTTGTACAATACCACGGGGATGCGGCACTCGTCGGCCACGCGCCAGAAATACTTGAATAACGCCTCGTCCTGCGAACCCGCCAGTGAATTTTAATGAATATTTATGAGCAATAAGGAAAGACGCAATCGGGCCGCCTCAGCGCGAAAAGAGAGCAAGCGCCCTATGCATGCTTACGAGTTTAATGAGGAAGAATCGTGGTAAAGTATGCAAAAAGAGAAGCAGCTTAACCGCGCTTCAATTTCGGGCGCGTGAAATTTATGCTTGTCAACGCTAATTAATACTTGCAAAGAATATCAGCTTGCATCGATTTCTGACTTCATTGACCTAAGAAAAATCTGTCTGCGTCACTTTCAAATTGATCAAAAATCAATATTTTGGTGGAATTTTGCACGCATGCAACTAAATGTAGTTTTAGTGTTTTACTAGTATTCAATCATTCAATCTGCAATTTGAAATTGTTGAGAGGCGTAAAATTTGCGTTCTTTTGCGTTGATACATTTTTTATTTTGACTTCGCTTGTTTTTCAAACAGTGCTACAATTTTCCCCTATTCATTTATTTTCTCTTTCATGTAAAAACTTTAAATTTTACTAAAAATAAATTATAATAATTTAATATTCATTTGAAACTAATCTTAACTTTTTTAAATTGGAAGAAAAATATGGAACAAAGTAATTCGTGTTTTAGATTTTTTTTCGCAAAATAAATGTTCTCAAGAAGTAGAAACTCTAAACAAAATTTAAATTTAAATTAATTTTAATTTAAAAAAATTAAAGTTCAATAAACTATTTATATCTTAAAAATTTAACTGACTTTTTAATTTATTTTATATTTTTAGGGTTTTATTCATTTTTATAATTGTGATAAATTATTTAGTTCTATTAACAGGTAAATTATTAAAGCAATTATCGTTAAAGTCCACTTCAATGTATTGATTTTTATTTATTTGTAAAAATGATAATTAATATAAATTGCACCATTCAACATTGACATTTAAAATTATCTGTATCGATCATTTATTCAGCCAGTTAATCTGTTTAAGGACGCTAAAATTGTTGCTCTACAGTTAAATTGGAGGTAATATGATTAAAATATGATTAGAAGCGATTAGAAGATTTCATCAATTCAAAACGGCCTGCAAATTATCAAATAGAAAAAGTAAAAAATTTACTGCACCCTGCACCTATAAACATCTAAATTTTGAGTTAATGATATAATGATTTAGGATCCCAGGTAAAAAAATGCGAAATCAAATATATTAATTAAAAATCTCATGAGATTGTACCAAGCATTTGATTTTAAAAGCATGATTAAATTTCGTTCAGTATCGTTTTAGATAAAAAGGTAAGCACTTCAATTTTAAATAACGTAATTAACTTATAATCTATAAAAGTCTATAAAAAACTCATGAAATTAATTTGATTTTTAATTGTATTTTTTTCTAACAAAATTTGGAAATCTTACATTCATAGCTGACTTGTAATAGCTGGGGTTGATGATGAGAACCGCGTCTGCTCCAGCATCGGCCATCAGGTTGCTCATTTCGATCGTCGCCTCTGTGGCTGCGAAAAAACACGCAAACATTAGGAGCAAACGCAAATGGCAGCAACAAGCTGACCGCTGACATTTTGGGCGTTAATTAAAAAGCCGGCTGAGCACAAAAGAAGACGCGTCGGTGGGAAAACGGTGCAAAAATTCGCTCCAACACGCATTTTGCAATTATTTCAGCTCCAGTTGCCAGGGGCTATTTCTGTTTCAAAAAGGCACCTTTTGTCCAACGCCGGGCTCTGGCGAGGTCACTCGGGCGAGACGCGACCGCCTGTTTTGTCCTCGACCCTTTTTGCACCACAATGTATACTACGTAGATAGAATTATAGCATTATGGCTCACGTACGAAAACGTACGGCCGTTTTGCGCGCAATGGCCTATTAATTTTGAGCAGACGGCCTAATTTGGCATCATCAAGCCTGGGTTTTTATTTTTTTATTATACGGCGCGCGAGCGAGCAACGCCTGTAATGAACAAAATGCGACCGGCTTAATTTTTACATATACGAAATCTCGTGTATTTTTTTCTAGCAACGAGATTTTGCATTCCTTTCTTAATGAGAAAATGTTAATTACAAAACAAGTTTCCCACACTATATTTTTTCACAGCATTGGATCTTATTATGGAGAGAATTTTTATAAAAGGTCAACAATTAAAATGCTACAAAACGCCGCGAGAAAAATTTTATTTGTCAGACTCATTGACATAATAAAATCAGCTTTTTCCAATAATCGTGTTTATAATTCCAATTGTCTTCCAATAATTGTTGTAAAAAGCTGATTGACTATGGCAATAAGGAATAATTTTGCTTTGTTCCCCACGTTAATGACGTTTATTATTTCAAAATGCATATCAAAACCACTTGCATACAAGTCAGTTGTTAAAACGGAACTAACTAATCTAGTGGGGCTTTAATTAGTGCAAAATTCAAGGTGTAATAATTGCTTTGATAGACAGAGAGCAGAATCTGATTGGGAAATTGTGCGACTTTGCGTTTTAATTAATATTCCCGCTAGCAAATTCTCAGTAGGATAATTAATTTACAAAAACTTCTGACTGTTGAAAGTTGATTTCAACTCGTTTGGGTTTCGCCACGCATGGCCTACGATTGATTATTGTCCGCTTGAGCAAAGCCAAGGAGCTGCCCGATTTTACTGGGAGGCGTTGTGAATTGTGAAACATGATTATTTTGCAAATTGTCATATCGCGTGATTCACATTTGATTTCATAACAATGAGGGTATTGCTTTGTTTCAAATATTAATCATAGATATATCAAGGGGAATGATAAATTATGAGCAGATTATATTATCACAAGTTCATTTAACACATGGATTTTTTAAAACTTGTGGTAAATGATAAGGTTTTGAAAAATCGCAAGAAGGCTCTCTTGCTTTTGCGTATAATGTAGAATTATTATTATCTGCAAAACTAAGATCTTTAATTTTTGTGTTAAATAATTTAATTTTATAGTTTTTTCTACTCTTCCTAAATCTGTATTTTTACACCAATTTTATTTTGCTTCACTCTGTTGATTACAGCTACTTTTTTTAAAAGTATTTTAATTGAAAACCAATTGCCACCGCATCTGCTCTGTTTGATATTTTAAAAATCCGTGACGTCATAAGCCAGGGAGATTTAAATTTAATAATTAAAAAATGAATAAAAAAAATATTAATTCATTTAGGTTTTAGAATTAAAATAAAAATAATTGAGAAATAAAGAATATAAAAAGAATTATGTAACAGTTTTTTTTTCTCACAAAAAATAATTTCTTATGTATTGTTGATTTTTCACCTACCTAGAGATTTTATGTAAAATCCCTGTTATTTTATTTATTATTTTACTATTTTTTTTTTTGTTTTTTATTGAAAGCAGTAATTCAAAAACCCCGCCTCAAACTCACATTCACAAGCTGATCCGGCGAGCAGCAGTTTGTCCTTCGGGATGAACTGGCGCGACTTGCGCACCATCTCGACTCGCTCCTCGTCCTTCAGCAACTTAAACTCGCCGTTCGATCCTTGCACCAGGTAGCCTGACGACCTCTCGAGATTAATCAATTCAATTTAGCTGGGCGAAATACCTCTGAATGGAAATTTCTGCCACACTCGGAAGTTTTGCTCGAGCTTGTCAAAAGCGAGGGTTTCGTCTGCATTGAAAGGCGTCGGGATGGGCGGGAAAACGCCAGACAGGTCCAGACTCGGAGCTGAGGAAAAGTTCCGAATACTTTTCAAGCCGGTGAAAAGGCCAGTTGTGATTTTCCTGCTGGCCATATCTGCAGCAGTCTGAGCAGTCCGTCTTTTTTTGTTTACTTTTACTCTAGATGAGACAGACCCACACACGCACCGCGCGCCTCAGCTTCTTTTTTGGAGCCGCGTCACACAGCCCGGGAGCGGCATGAAAAAAAGCATCAATTTGAATGGGAGCTGCTAGCAGAGCGGAAACCTGTGTGATTTTTTCTCCCTTCTTTTATTTTTGCTCTCTTGAATGAATTAATTACCTTCCGGGCAGTTTTTACTTTTCTCTCTCGCTTTTTGAAGCGCTTTTCTGATCAAATCTCATCCTTTGGTCTTGCGAGTGAGAGCCACTTTAGAATTCAATGCAATTTCCGCTGAAGAACCCTCTCAGCCACGCTAACGAGACGACTTAGTACGTCTTCTTAATGACGCTGCATGCGTGAGAGGCGTTCTAATGAGAAAAATCATGACGGAGAGGTATAATATTATAATTATTATCTAGAATCCAACTCGCTCCACTGAATGAACAATTAGTGTAAGATTAGTTGGTCTCTATCGCACGTTAGGAACTATGTATTTTCGTACATTGTTGTTTCTCCTTACCTAATTTAATTAAAAAAGAAGACGTAAAAGTTTTTTTTCTTTGTTTTCTATAAGGGAAATAAATCCAATATAAATAAAAAAGATAAACGGATCAAAATTTAATGATACAATTTACAGCACTCACTTTGATATTCTAACAATTAAAACATTTATCTGTAATAACGGGCGTTTTACCAGACCTCTGCTCATTTTATCAAGTTTCTCATTATTTTTAACGACTCGAGTAGAATAAATAATAATATAAATTTAATATATTGTTAAATTGAGGACATTTTTAATTATAAGGTTATTAAAATTAATCTCTGTAAATATTTGTTACAGAGATTGTGGCACACTAGCATATTATATTGAATTTCGAAAAGCAATTTGTCCTGTAGGAGAAATAAAGAAAAATTGCTGCGCCTAAACTTAAGACCTTGATTTATAAAAAAAAACATTGAAAATCTAATTTAAACAAAAATACTATTTATAAAAATAAATAAATAACGGAGTTTGTTCACCTTTAAAGCTGGAAATAGAAAGCATATTTTTTTAGTGTGCATAATAAATAATTTACAAATTGGTCTATCTGAACTTCTATAACTTCTTTATAATTATATAAATAGAAGTTTTGAGAAGCTTTATTAAATTTTTTAATTAACTTTTATTTATTATTTAACTAATTTTGTGAAAAAATTGAAAAATTTATTGCAAATATGGCATGATTTTAATTTATTAAAAAAATAATCAATTGATCAAATTAAATTTATGTATTCTTTTGTAGATACTGTTTTTCAATTGTTTGGAAACTAAAATCAAACACAAACTTTTTTATTATTTTTCTAGCAACAAAGCGTTTTTGTCTCGTCAACTTTATTTTATTCATCATAATTTTCGTCTCTTGTGTAACAAATGAGTGAGTTTCTTTTGTGAACATGTGTGTTTTTAGTGCACAACGCGCAGGCATGCATTTTTTTCTGTATTACATTTTTTTATTCTTTATAATTAAAAAAAAAAACATAGACACAACGGTAAATTACATAAGAAGTGAGTCGTCGTCATTAATGTTGCAGTTTTTTTTAAATTCTTTTACCAAGTCAGAGCATTAATTTATTATGATTTTTTTTATTTATTTATATATCGATCACACAAAAAAGTGATTCCACAACCTCGATTACAATTCAAGCGGCGGTTCTTTGCTCGCGCCATTTGATGATTTTTTAACAACAGTGCTTTCAAATATAGGTATGATTAGAGATTATTTTTTTGCATTTGCAGCAAAAAATCTTGGTTGGTATTGGGCAGCCTCTTTGAACGATCAACCGTTGTAACGTCCGGACAGCAAAAAATATAATTATATATTTATACTTATAGCTTATATACTTTTTTTTCCAAAAATTTATGTGTTTTACCCTTTGACGCGTCGCGACTCTTTTTTTAAATCAGTTCTCACAGATTTGTGGGATTTTATACATTAAAAAAAAATGAGAAGACATACAGGAGACGTGTTATTTTAGTGAGTGATTTAAGTAGTGCCGTGATTCGAGATAAAAAATGCGATTTCCAGTGTGGTCTATTTTTTCGTCAAGCAACTCTAACACGCAAACGCTCACGAAAATCATATTCATAAGTTAAAAGTAGAAACACCGCGTCCGTCAAATTCGGTAAAAAATAAAAGAAAAAATTAAAAGGCAATATTAAAAACTAATATTTAATTTTATTTTTATAACATCAAAAAATTGCTTACGATAATTATAGACGTAATTGAAAAAAGATAAAATAATTTTGTTGTCTTTTTATTTGTTAGAGGGTGGCTGCGTTTTTGCGCTTTTTCAATCCAATTAATGCATATCACACGATTTATTATTCAAAACTTTTTAAATGGGAAGTTTTTAAAAATAAAAAAAATAAAACGAGCCACCCGTTTAGAAATCTGCAGCACTAGAATATACTCGCGGACGCTCGGTTATTTTAACTTTTCAGCAGTCTCTTCATCCTAATTTTGACTTTTAACTAAACATTCTTTTCAGCTAACTAACATATTACGACCAAAGATTGTGTACCAAATTGATATAAACAAGCCTGCTGCTACGGAACTAATTATTATTATATTTAATAATTATTCAATTTCCGCTATTCAATCTCTTGATTATTATCCTTCTCACTAAAAAATTGCCCATTATCTGCGTGTGTGTCGTTTTAAATCTATCGTGCGTCAAGAAAGACGCTTAGTCCTTCTCAATTCCTAAGGACTAATCAGCAAGTAGTGTGATTATTACATTGTATTGTGTTTTTCGTCACTGTAACAAATATCTCAGGGACCTTCCAAAACGGAGGCAGTGTTTGAAGTGGCAGACATTTTTTTACAATAATTTTTGTCAGAAACTGTATAGCATGGATCCATCATTGTTTTAAAACAACTTCTGAAATCTATTCCGTCGGACTGAGGATTAATAAAAATAAAATTAAAAGGGAAGTCAAACTGCATTTGAGAAGGTCCTGATTACGATTTTGTCAATTTTGATACAAAAATCGTCCGGTATTCAAATTTCAAAGTATGGCCTGAGACAATTTCCCATTTTGAGCTGAGAATGAATTTATACAAATTTCGTGGCTTTTAGAAAACGTTCCAAATTTCTTGGATTATTTCAATTTTTAAGTATGAGGCCGCTTTCATTTTTGTTAGTTCTGTTTTCAACAATATGTAGACACATTTTATTCGTTAATTTTTAAATATACATTCTCCATTTCAACAGCAGCACTATGCAGTCCTTTCGATCAGATAGATTTTCCCAGTTAATATTAATCAGCAAAACATCTATCGAACAGAGTTGAGAGCTTTTGGCGCTACGTGACTATATTTATATATGATTTTTTTTTAGTTCTGTGGGGGGTCCCTACATCGATTTTTGCAACACATGCGGCTAATTACGGTAATATACGTCTATAAATATTTAATTGAGTACGAATTACATTTTCATTCATGTGGTGGGCCACCGAAATCGTTTCTGGGTGTTTTCAAATAGATCATCAGTTATTTCGCTTTCCCCTCAACTGCTCAACAAAGTGAAAATTTAAAAATAGTTCTTTTTTCGTTTTTCAACAGGCGATGAATTGTCCTTTTTGGGGCTTATTTAATCAAAATGTATGTGTTGGGTTTAATGGCTCAGTCCTTTTCGTTTTTCAGTCAGCGCCTCTGTGGCTTGAAAGTTTTATCATTTAAAAAAAGGAAAGAAAATATTCATGTATATCGCACCGAAACTTTCAGAAAGATTTAATGCTTGATATCAAAGAAAGCCGCAGAGGGGCCAAGTGTGGATTTTCTTAAATATTAAAAAAAAACTTTCAAAATATGTGGAGAAGAAACAATAAGAGAAGGGTGCGGAAATCAAAACAGCACAAACCTTTAATCGGGTGCAAATGAACGAACAGAGCACAAAAATATAGTAGAAGACAATAATTAATAAGCATAATGTTTCCCATTTCATCAGCAAAAAGTATAGATTGGTGAATCAAATTTTGAGCGCTGCGGCTCAGCGATTGAGAGGCATCACAGCCCTCAGAGCGTGCGACGATCGCCTCTGTATAGACGAAAGGACGGGGTTCAAAAGCCAATTCCTCCTTATTTCAAATACACGTTCGTACATGAATCAATGATAATATACAGGCTTGTAAAATGGTGCGTCAGAGGCAGTGATGCAGCACAAGCACAAGGGGACCTGCGCCAACCAAATCTATTCCAAGCAGATCGCGAATAAAAAATTCCTTGCAGGAATTGAAAGTTTGATACGAGAGGGAATCAGCTCTTGCTGGCGATTGAATCTTCCCTCTGTGGAAAATGCTTGAAATAGAAAACGAGATTGCATTCTGGTGTTTGCGCAGGTATCCCTGAAACTCAACAAACCACCAAAACCCTCTGATCGTTAATTTTTAATCAACTTCATCTTGGCCAATCTTGGCAGTGATAAAAAAGAAGGAAATTGAAAATTTTGTATGTGAACTTTTTCTTTTTCAGTTTATCTCATTTTCAACATCATCGTGTCGCCGCCAAACTAAGGATATGCCAGCGAAAATAAATGATGCTTGAATATATTAAAGATAAACCCAAAAACAAAATAAAATATTATTAAAAAGACAAAATTGAGTGGCGTCTCTGCGCCACTATAAACTTAAAAAGGACACAGGCTGACAAGACTTTTTCTTGGCCTGACCCAAACAAAATATCAGTTAGTAAAAAATTAAAAGGTACAGAATTTCAAAATATTACTCAAATCTCGTGTTATATGCAATAAATGAAAATTTCCTCATTAGCAAGTTGAAGGTGTTTAAAAATCATCCAATTTGAAGTGGGGATTGGTGCGTCTTTTTAGGAGGCGGAAGGCGAATTAGAGTGGCCAACATAATCAAGCAATCATTCACAAAGAATTTCCATTTCCGTGACAGCGGCCGCTAGACCGATTCGAAAAATGCATCTCTCATGAATTACACATAGTTCAACGACGTAGTATAATGTATGCGTATTAATTGTATAATATAGATATAATTATAATAATAATTATGCATTCGCGTCTCGTATTTTTATCATAAATACGCTTGAGCCGTATGTGTGTGTGTGTCGAATACTCGAGATAAATATTCGCATGCAATACAAATAAACCATATATCTCGTGTGTGTTTTTTTTTTCTCTTTCTCTCTTCTCATAGCTAAGGCCACCACAATTATAACAACATGGATAATAAAGTGGGCGGGCGTTTGCCCTGAAACGAAAGAAGCAGCCGTGCGCTGGGGAGCAGCCGACGAACGAAGGAAGACTTTCTCAAATTCCTCTTCCCGTGCGTGTCAGGCCTATCACAGCAGCAGTTAGTCTCTCTATCGTCGCGTGGGGTCATCCGGGGGTCACTGGATGCTGCAGCAGACGGCGCCGGTGCACGGCAGGGGCTCCTGGTCGGGCAGGTGGCGCACGAATTTGGCCGGCGGGGGTTCGTCGCCCGACTCGATGCCCGAGTCGGTCAGCTGCTGCACGTCCAGCCAGCCGTCGCCCGTCAGCCGCACCACGCCGTCCCACGACGCGTCCCACTCGGCACTCACGTCCGAGCAACTGCAGTCCGCGTTTATTTGTCCGAGGCGTGCAACCCTTGTGCCCGGCATACCATCCGGCGTGCTTTCGGCGTCGCTATTGGATGGCGCAGGCAAAGGGTTGCTTATCGCGTTTTTTGAACCGGCCTCGTCTTCATCGTCCTCCTCGACGTCGCTGTCCAGAGACAGCGTCGGTTTTGTCGTTTCCAGCCACTCGGTGACCGCCTCGGTGATGGGCCTCTTCGGGCCCTCAGGTTCGGCGACCTCCGCAGGTTGCAGAGACAGGGTTTCCAGAGGGGGCACCTCCAGGGTCGCCTGGACGACAGCCTCGCACACGATCTGCTCGGACAGCTCGGCCGCCACCGAGTCCTCATCGCCGCTCAGTGGAAGGGGCGTGGCTGGTCGGTGTCTGGCCTTCGGGCGCCTCCGCGGAGGCGGCACCGGGCTGACGCTGATTTCGCTCAGACTTTCTTCGGAGGAGGCCTTTTGGGGGGTGGGGGAGGGCGTGGGCGGCGCAGCCTTGGTCTTGCGAGATCCCTTCCTGGTGATCTTGCCCAGTTTCTTGCTCTCCTCCACCTTGGCCGGTGGTTCGGCTTCGACGGCCTCCAGGACTGGCTCCTCGGCGGCCTCTTTGATCAGCTGCACAATGGTGGCCTCGTCCACAGGCTTGGGCGCGATGACCATTGACGCGGTCACCACGGCCTCTTCCTCGCCCTCTTCCATCATCGTTTCCTCCTCCTGTTTCACAATGACCGTCGTTGCACTGGGAGGCGCTGGAGTCGGCGCCCTCGGAACTTCTGAGGGCATCTCGTCCTGCGAGTTGTGCGACGAGGCAAGTGCTGATGACGCCGGCGAGAGCTCGCTGCAGCTCTCGGACGGGCCTGGCCCAGGACTGGATGAGCTCATTTTGTCGGGTGCTGGGGCGCTGGTGGCCTCCTTGCTAGGCTCCTTTTCATCGGCGCCTTCCTCGGAGCTGGTCTCTTCAGACCCTTCGTCAGTTCCCTGAAATTGGGAAAAAAATAAGCTCATTTGTTAAAAAAAAATTTGCAGATTAATATTGGGAATCCCAACAAAAAAAATTTAAATAAAATAATTCTTCAAAACATAATAAATTTTGAAACATGGGCAAAAATCTGTTTTTTTTTTTTTATATAAGTTTGATTATTATATATTAGCAAATTCCTCTTATTTAAAATAATCAGATTTGGTATGAATTAAAATTCAAAATTTTTTGCAAACCCAACATTGCCTATTATTTATGTGGATGCTCAAATTATTTAAACAAAACATTTATGCATTAATTATTTCAAAATAGCATCCAACGTTACCAAGTGAAAGAGAGCCGAAATTCCAACCCCGTCAGGACTTGCAAATCCCTTGTTAGCCTGCTTGTTAATTTGTACCGCTTTTTCGCCACGGGTCCTGCGCTTCCTCCTCCTCTTCTTCTTCCTCTTTTTGCTCGACTGAGATGTGGCAGTGGAAAGGTTGTTTACCGGCTGTTCGACAGCCTGATTGCTGTGGCCGTTGGTCGCCTGGTGGTGGCCGTTGACCGGGGGTTGGCTCGGCTCGCTGTGGCCGTTGGTGCAGACCACCGAACCGTTGGTGCTGCTGCCGTTGCTCACAGGTGGCAGCGGCTGAACTGCGGCCCCTGGAAACCAAAATAAAAATTATTTAAAAAAAATTTAAATTAAATTGATAAAAAATCACATTGATCAAAAAAAATTAATTTTTTGTATTTGTTTAAAATTTCGCTCATTTGTAATTTTTTTATCATAATAGACAAGCAAATTACTAGCCGCTTTGTAAAAAAACAAACATGTGTGGAAATCTGTTATTTTACTTTTAAATGTTAATTAAAATTCTCATTTTATCTTTTTTTACAAACAACTAAAAAAATCGCGTGATTTGTCTACCATCAGCAGACCGTTCAAGCCAGACTAAATTCTTTCTTTCTTTTAACGAAATGTCTTTAGGCTTCCCGCCGAACGCTCGCGTCGTGCCGGTTGCTTGCACATCAAAGCCCCCAGGGCGGCAGTGCGGCAAATTCATCATCGCCTCTTAAAAGTGCAGAGCCTACGAGAAAACTATGCAAAGTGCACGTCGTATAAAAGTCGCGGGCTGGCACTTGCGGCCGGTCTATTTCGGTCGGCGAACTTTTTGAGAGGCTGACTGATGAGGCGTGCGGCCGAGGCGCGGTGGCAAGAAAGATTCTCAAAAGCAGTGCACCTGCCTTGCCGTTGGAAACAAAATAACCATTGTTTGCTTTTAAATGAGAAAATAAAACACACACATTGTTTTAACTCGTGGATTTTAAGAGACAATGTGTTTACATTCTATGAAGTAATGAATTAAATTATTCCAACAGCCAAGAACTTAGTGAAAATCAAAAAGGAATTATTTTCCTTTATTAAAGCAATCAAGATAATATTTCAAAGCCTGCAGTTTTTCATTCTTACCAACTGGAGAAGTTCGGGGCCCGTTGGAAAGATAGAAAGTGGAACTGGTCGGCACAGCGACTGCCGGCCAAGTGTCGGCACCGCCAGAGGGCCGGCAGAGTGCGTGGCTGCCGGGCTAAAATTGACGCCACTTGATGCCCCACCGAGAGATCGAGCTTGTGCGTGTGCCAACTAATAATAAATTACGGACGGGAGCCGATCGAGCGCACGAGAGTCGTCTTTCGCCCCACCGGCCAAAATAAATGTCAATTGATGAGCGAGTTATGCAACCCACGTTTCGAAAGAGAGGGGCAGTTTCATCTGATTTAACACTGATTAGGAAAAGAATGTAACCATAAAAATCTCCATTTACAAAGATTGATTCGGGATCAAAAAAAATAAAAAATATTTGTATATATAAAAGATATAATTAATAATATTCTTATTTTTAGTCTAGTACGTTGAATTTTCATATAAATAAGATTTAATAATTTTATTCCCAATATATAGAATGTAGAATGTTGAAACTTAAAAACTTAAGCAATAATGAAAACGTGTTCGCACCCCTTTACGCTGCCTCGCCAAAACCAAGCAAATCTGCAGCATTAATTACCGCGCCTCTGGGGAGCCGTTGTGCTACCGATTGCGCAAACTGGCACCGCCGAGCACCGCAAAATTTTCTATAGCACTGCAGATGCTTCTCGCCTAATTTAACTCCGCAGCCAACGGCGTTAATTACATCCAATTCATTCGCAACTACTGGAAATTGAACATACCGTTGACGTTGTACACAGCAGCGCCAAACATGTAGCCAGGGTAGACGTAAGGTGGAGGAAGTTGCTGGAAGGTGGCGGCGTCACCGTTCAGTACTCCCACTTCCTCCTCTTCTTCTTCTTCCTCCTCATGCTGAGGACTACCTGGAGGTCCTGTCGACTCTGAGCTGTTTGGACTGCAATTCTGGAAAAAATAAAATAAAATTTAAAGTTATATACAAACATGTAATATATTGTACAGTATAATAAACCAAAAAGAATGAACTTATTTATTGCACGCCATTGTGTGTTTTACTTGAGACAGTAAAAAAAACTCAGAAATACTAAAAAACAAAGAAAAAATTTTCAAGTAAGTAAAGGTAAATAACTGGTAAATAATATAATTAAAGAAAAGAAATGAAGAAAGATTTTATTTTAAAAACTGCCCAAAAGTTTTATTATTTTCAAATTTATTTTTAAATATTTCAGCAAATATGAATTACATAAGGCAATTTCTAGATCTTTTCAAGTTATTTGTTGTTTTCTTTCCACATTTTTTTTCTACGAATCTACTTACTTGCGAGTCGGTGGAGTACCTCTTCTTCCTAGAGTTGAGGACCATCGGGGGTGGGGGTTGTTGGCACTGTGGCGGCACGAAACACCAGCCGTCAGGGGTGCCGCGAGGGTTGAACCACTCGAGGGGCTGCATGGGCAAAGGTTGGCACGGCACGGCGGTCAACATGCCGCCGGCCTGCGGCGGGAAGCCGGCTGGGACCATGAACGACGTGTACGCGCCTGTGTAAGGGTCGTACACCTCGTATGCTCCTAGAAATAAAATAAAACTTTTATAATCTGCTCAAACGCCTCAAACTTTAAAATAAATTAACAAATAATAATAATAAAGTTAAATTTGACTTTAATCAAGAACAGATATTTTAGAAGCCTAGATTGAACGTAAACAATGGAATTTTAACAATATGGACACACTAAAAACAACAATACTAAATAAAATAAAGTGTAGCAACATTAAATTTATTTTTATCTCTTTAAAAGTCAAGTCTAGAGTAAATAAATATACAAAAAAAATTCATTTTCATTATAATTTTCAATTTCATTTAATTGGTTTTTTTATTCTATATTTCTTCTATAAATTTAAAACTAAATTGATTAAACTTTTCTCTTCTTACCATTGAGGTAGAAAACTGGCCCCCCTTGAGGGTCAATGTATCCATTCGTGTAGACCAGCTGGGGCTGCTGCTCCTGCGAGGTCACGGTCTCTGAACTGGCTTCGCTCTGGGTGTCCTGGCACTCTAAATTACAAACAGGTCTCAATCAGCTTCATATCTAATTTTTTTTCAACGCTTTACATAATAGGAAGTCACAAGTGCTTGTGCATTTCTATCCCGCGATATAATTTTAATTGCCGTGAAATTAACTTTCCGTGTCTTGCCATTCATGTTAGCGTAAGAATAATATGCTCGTGACGGACGCCCAAGCACGCGGCCGTTATTTTTTATCTCTGAAAATAAACAGAGAAGGGCGAATTTAAATTTGAGACAAGGCACGGCCATGACGTCAGCGAGTCACGAGCGGTTTGAAAGAAAAGTTATCGCCGCGCACGCCTCCACACCGATCTTGTTCCGCAAACCGGCCGCTGAATAGAAATAGACCAAAAAGAAAGGCAGACACCGTCAAGTATGGCAATTGCGTCAATGAACGGAAATGTGTGGAATTATATCCTAATCATTCAATTATCAAACTTGCAAACAATTTTCTGTCTTGTTATTAATGTTAAGTTTTTTAAATCTTTTGAAAACACAATAATATTTAAGTCAAGTAATCTCTATATTTAGGTTACTCCCGCAAGCCTGTTACTTGTTATGACAATAGACACATATACACGCCTGCCGTGACTTCCACATTATACAATGTAAAATTAACACAAAACAACTCCCGCAATTTCTAAAATATGTCGGAGTATTTTGTAAAGTGAATTTTGTCATATTTGAATGCCAATAAAACACAAGCAGCACGAAAAATATATATTATAATTATTTTAAAACCTATGTTAAAATCAGCAAAAATAATATTGATTGAAATTATTATTGAAACTCAAAGTTCCATATAATCAGCACTAGAATTAAATGAAATAAATTAGGAGAAATTGAGGAACTTGTGTGTTTATTAAAAATTTTGAGCCGAGGAAAATTGATTTTTGAGGGAAACTTATAAACCAGATCAATTCCTTACAATTATAAACATTACGGTTTTTAATTAATTACTCAATGATAAAATTTAATAGAATAAATTTGTGTTATGTTAATAAAAAATGCTAAAATTTTACCTGTATTGAACAGGATATTGTGAGATGTTAAAGGGAGAATTAATTGGCAAAGGATTCGTGCTTTCACTTGTTGAAATTGGACCGTGATCTTTTGTCTCGCCTCGGTTATATAACCGTGTGTTACGTAACGCAACCCGCAGAATGATTATGCCCATTGAAATTTACTATAACCGCGGCGGTGCTTTTGTAGTTGGATATAGAAGCGTGCATATTTGTAACTGAAATAGCGACCTCCATTCTCGTTGGCTTGGTCTCCGTTGGCGAGCTGATCATCGGCGGTGACTAAGGGTGTGGGACGACGCCGGCCGAGGTAGCCCTTTTTGAAGAGCACGTCTTGACGCGGGGTCGTGATCTTTGTGTACTCGTCTGAAACAAAAATTTACATAGGGATTTATTCTCCACACAAAATTAAATCTAAATCACAAGTATCAAAGATTATTCAATATGAATTAATGAAAATCGTAATAAATTTTTTCTGCCATCTACGAAAATAAGCAGAAATTAAATTTTAAATAAATTTTTGTATTTGCCATTATTCGTAAAATTTGGGTAGCTGCTCGTTTTTTCATAATTACTTCAATCTAAACTTGAAAAAAATTAATTAACTGAATATTAAAAACATTTTATTTAATAAAAGAATTCCTGTTTTGAAGAAATTATGTATTTTGTTTTTTATTTGGGGTTGAGTGGGGTTGTTAATGAGGGTAAATAAATAATGCAGTTTTTGTGTAAACGCAAATTACTTTAACCCTGTTTTTAAAGCAGTAAAATTAGAATTTTAAGATTTCTATTTCCACTCGCCTTTGAATTGCTTTCTTGGCGGTTCGTAAAGTTTTACTGCCTGTACAGCAGCTTGTTTTTGCTACTCACGAGTTTTCTTCACACTTTTAACTTGTGCACTTTACAACGAGATGCATTCCAGACTGTAGAGAAAATAAAAACACCAAGCAAACATACGACGACAAGATCTTTCCAACATAACGAATAAGTGCTGTGCTGCATGTCCATAGCAATTTATAAATTATTATTAAAATTAGAAAAATCTATTGTTTTGAATTTTGTTTGTATAAAATTATTAAGCTAAAATGAATCCATCCCATTGCATCCCATTTAACAAACGAGAAACTTACTTTAATGAATGGCCGAATGGCGAATAATGAGTTTCTCTGTTTGATAGCTTCATAATTTAATGTCATTATAGTGTACTAAAGTTGGAAGGGTGGGTGTTTCACATAAGGTTTTAACCAATAATTAAAGAAAACGTAATAATTGGCAGGTATTTAATAATTTTAAATTTTGAAACTTCATTTAAAAAAGAAGATAATTTTTTTCTGTTAGAATTATTAGTAAAAAATGAAGAAAATAAATTTAATAAATAATTAAACTAATAAATAAATTTAAAAGAATGTCAAGAATTTAAAAAAAAATATTAATTGAATTAACTTTAAAATTAAGTTGGTAGAGTTTGTTTCATATTTAAAAATTTATTTTTAATTGGCAAATAAAACCTTTTAAAAACATAATATTTTTGCGATCAGTTTGCTTCTTCTCCACACTAGAGCGCTATAATATTTACTGTACATAAATTTAGTCACAGTACAGCCGAAGGGAGGGATTTGCACGATTGGAGGGGTGTTTTGGCTGCAGAGAGTGGTGCAGTGCTGGATGACATTGTCTGGGCCGTGACATTGGGTCACGCTGGTTGGGGGTGGGCGGAGGCGAGCGGGGGTGGCGGAAGCTCCCAGCTCGCTGCTGGCCTACTTTCCACCTGCACTCGCCGAATCGATAGCACGTCTGGCTGCTGCAAAGAGAGGGGTAGGGGTGGCGCGAAGACGGCAAGGTGCATTCAGGATTTAGAAAAGTCGAGAAAGAATTATTGGAGACTTTACGTTCTAAAATCCGTTCAAAAAAATAACTAAAAAATTAAATATTTATTGACTTATGTCACCGAGAAGGATAAACAAATAATGATTATAATTTTTTGAAATATGAAATAAAAAAATTTCAACCCCTTTTCATTCAATGTTATTTCCACTTACTAATTTTTTAGTCTAAATAAAGTTATCAATTTCAACAAAGCTAGTCTTTCACTGAAGCTTTTTATTTGCACTTTCTTGTACTTTCTAACATGTTTCAACTTAACCTCTAACAATTTTAGTTCAAAACAAAGGCTCTCATTGTCTGTACGAACAAGTGCCAAGTTCACTCAAAATTATCCACCTAGACGAAACAAACAGTTCCTTGTCGCTCGTAATTGCATTTGTCTAGCAAATGTCTTGCGCTTTTCAATTCCTCTCGATGTCACCGACTAGTCTCGCGAACGAACAATAATTACTTGGCGAAACCTTACTTTTTAAGCACCTCGTGGTGTAAGTGCACGTAAAAAAAACAGACGGTGCACTTGCTGCAAGATGTGGTATACTTTTTTTCTTGGCTTACGTTTGACTGATGTGTCTGACAATGAGAGGCAACGAAAGAAGCCTTTACTGACTGGAAAGCACTTATTGGCACAAAATATACTGGTTTTAAAATATTTTCCTAAAAATATCATATTTATTCTGTTTAAATTAAATTTTAAAATCTTAACAATCGGGGTATTTTTCCGTTAAAAATGATTGATAATATATAGAATTTCAATCAATAAATGTTACAATTTAAAATTTCACATCTCGATTATTTGCAAATTAACTTTGATCAAATCAGATTAATTTATTTAGTGATTAAGATAAATTAAAATATTTAATTTAAAAATATATTTTAATCAAGTAATGTAGAAATTGGTAAAAATAATAATTAAGGAGATTTTCAGTAAGATGTTATTACGTTTAAGTGCGCTGTATTTTATTTTAATTCCCACCAGAGGCGAACAAAAACGAAAGAAGAATTTTATTACCGTCTGAGTGAATAATTTAAATTTCGCGCTGCTCGCGTCGTGTTCGCATTTTGAACCACGACCCTTCCTAAGCGAATCACGCTTGGAGCCAGGCTAAATCGAGTGCGAGACCCAGGAATAACCTCTGTTTAGAGGTCGTACTCTTTTTAATTACCGGGGGGCGAAATGTCAAAGCACCACAGTCCGCTCTGCCAGTTCGCGAAATGCGTATTCGCTTGGCCAGAATTTTTATATCGGCGGTGTTTGTTCTTCTCTCAGCGTTGAGCAATTCGCGTGCTGCTCCAAGAAATTAAATTTACACCGCGCCGCCGTCGCGACTTGTTTTCGTCGCGCGAATCTGCAAGCCGATTTGCAAGAGGGGACCCAATTAAATAATGTGTGCTCTGCATTTTTCGGACGCTCATTCTCTCAGCGATTCTTTTCACTTCTACGAAATGATGATCGACCCCTTCAGAATTTTCTTTTGTCATCAACGTACTGTTTGATTTTAAAATTCGTGAATGCTTTATTTAGATTATGGATATTCTTTCAAAAAAAAATAATGCAATTTTAAAAGGAACTGTGGGCAATTTTTTATTTCTATTTGAAAAAACGCCACATTTAAATCTTTTTAAATTGGTTTGCATTATTTTGTGCTAAATTTAGTTTTTGAAAAATTTCATTCAGTAACTAAATTTTGTTGTATTTTCCAATCTTAATATTTTAAACAATTATAAATATTAAATATATTTTTTTTAAATCGTAATCCTGCGCAGAAAAAGATAAAAACTTAAGACATTTTTTCTACCAATTTTCTTCAGCTCTGGCTAGACGGTATCAGGTTTAATTATCTTAAAAATAAAGCCCTTGTCGAGCTTCACTTCGCTTATCCCTTTTGCTCACCCCTCACACGCAACATACCTTCGTTGAAGAGTTTTTTCTCGGAGCTCGTCTGCGAGGCGGGCTGCGAGGATGAGTATCGGTTGTAGTGATGATTGTGGTACTTGTAGCCATTGGGCCGGTACTTTCGGAATCCGTTGTGGTGCGCCGGTGACTCGGAGCCACCGTTTTCCTCAATCTCATCTCCGTCGTCTTCGTTTTGTGAGGAAACGTCTGCGAATCAGAGCAGGAGGCATAATTATTAATAAATCCAATCGCAACGAAAGAAAATTTATTTTCATTTCGACGAGACAGATCCTTAGAAGTGTGGATCGATTCAGCGCGCTTTTATTTTGCAATTTGCGTCATAGCACGGGTAAAAAATTGCTGCGGAGAAACGCCTGCCCCGAGCGGCACTAGGCAACCCGCGTGGCTCATTCGTCACGCCGGTTGCATAACACTCGATCGTGCGTGCAAAAAGGGCATAATGAGGTAGAAAAATTGCTCGACATTTTTAGAAAGGATATTTTTTCCAAATATATAACATAATATCGATCTAAGAAATAGTAAAAAACTTTGGCTAGAGCGAAGCAGAAATTTTTATGATTTTTATTAAAAAGCGGAATAATTTACAAAACCGAAAGAAACAATCTTATTGTCTGAATAAATAATTTTTAGTACCCATTATGTCCCATTAAATCACCAGCTAAAGAAATTTGCTTATAAATAAAAATAATACATGAAATCTCACAATATAATTGCAAGGATGTTTACGAGAAAAAAGCCATAAAAATGACTGGTGTGCAGCGTAGAAGCAGCGGCAATTAATGCGTCTGCACGGTTTTATTGCTCCCTACAGCGTATCTAATACTCGCAATTCAGCCGAAAGCTGATTTACGATGTAATTGTACTTTCGGTCCTGCACATACGAGAATGGAGGGGAAAACAGCGAGTGTCACCAACAGCAACTTTATTTGGCACACACGATATCTTGTTTGCATTTCGCGATGCCAACCGACGCTTTTACAACCAACATAATATGCAATTCAAGCGTGAAACATTGACCTCTTACGTACGTAACAGAAGAAAGAGATTCACTTTGAAACAAGTAGGCGCCACAACAGACAACATTTTAACAGCGGCATAAATTTTGGGTTTTATGGCCAGAAAATGAAAATAGAGCGGTAAATAGATTACTCATGAAATAAATAATAAACCATTTAGTTCAGCTTCTTTAATTTGTAGGATTAAATAGGAATTTTTTAAGTTGGTGGAGTTGGCAACCCTTTCAAAAAGTTTTTAAATTTATACTAATAATGAGACCTGAATTTATTGCAAATATCGGTTATTTAAATTAAAATTGGATTAAAAAATTTTATTTTAGCTTTTGGTCAACGTGCAAAAATAACCGCGAATATTTAAAGTGACCAATTTATAACTAAATCGAATTATTTCTGACCAATAATGAGTAACTCGGCAAGGAAATAAGGGGTGAAAGAAAAGTGGAGGGAGTAACGGGGTGGCCCTGATGGACTCGAACCTTCTCCCGACGAGTTGAGCTCGAGTTGGAACAAAAAGTCCCTGAGCAAATGGGCTTCATGCGCCTGCGTGGTCTGCGCGTCGTCGCGTAGAAGCAATCGGTACTGACGCAGCAGCAACGCGCGTTTCCCCGATCCGATGACGTAGTGCACACGCCTGCGTCGCTTCCACTGCATGGCTGCAAACTGAACGAAAGAGTTGGGGCGTCCGACAGAGAGACAGACAGACGAACCCGCTTCCCCGCCGCGCCGAGAACACCATGCGCAGCACTCGGTTCTCGAGAGCAGCCGGCCGGCCGGCCGGCTTCCTCGTGTGTTTGAGCTGAGAGGTGAAAATTACACCCGGACGACACTGTGCATATACACTTAAGAGGGCCACAAGGCTACTTTTTTACGACAAAGCAAGAGAGGTGGTCGATGTGACACCATATACGCTTTCTTGGCTTTACGGTCACCGGCAGTCCATATTTCACGCCTGTTGGCCCCCAAGGATTTCAGCTTTCATTCATTACCATGGTGCTAACAATGAAGTTAATTATTCAATTTCATGCTTGGTGACAATAAAACGGTTATTTACTTTTTATGACAAATACGTTTGATAAAATAAATATTTTATTTAGGAAATTTGATAGAGTTTAATTAATAATTCATATAAATACATTTTACCTGTAAAATTATCCAAATTAAATTTATAAAATAAATAAAATACAAATTTAACAATTATTAAATTTCATTTTAACAATAAAGTAGCACAAAAATCAGCATTAAAATTAATTAAATACAATTCCTATTATTATGCATTTTTATAATAACATTTCAATTTGATTGACTGAACTGTATTAGCATCATCTGATTGTGCTCTACCCATGCCAAATTAGTCAAATCATTCTAGCTATTTCTAGCCGCCAAACCCCTAACCTCTCATACAACACGGATTTTATCCTAAAAAAACAATGTCCCTGATTTTTGGTTTGCATCCAAATTTGAATTAAAAAAGACTAAAACAAAGCGGCGACTTCTCCGCGTGACTAGAAGATAATAATCATGACGGGAATAGATCGAACCGTGTCACCTCTTTGCTTAATAGAAAGGGAACCAAAAATTCGATCTCGAATTGACAGATGGCCAAAAACAAAAAGGCAGCAACCAGAAATCGATACACCACACACCCTGCTGAGGGAAGTGATATTATTCCAGTTCTGTGTTGAAATATTCATGAGACCATCTGCTCTCCGTCAGTCTAGCGGCTGAATTATATTATTTTTATTATTTTATTACGTAAACACAACTCTTTTAACATTTCTCATCCGTCGGGTGAGCTTTGTCTTAAAATTTTTCTAATAAATTTAGAACGACTGGCAAAGTGCCTCTTTAAAAGCTTTTTCTACCGTTGTTGTGCGACTCTTGATCGATTTGCGGAGGAAAAAACATTATAGGGGGACGAACGATGCGTTTGTTAGGGGCTGCTTCGAAGTTATTTGGCGCGTGAGATATGTGCGGAAAGGAAAGAGGGCACCTTTTCCTCCCTCTTTCTTGTGGCCTGGGAGTTGGAGAAAAAATTGAGGCGTTCGTATGCTGGTTGCGCAAAAAGGACGAAATATTGAGCCCGTACGTCACTTGACAGACCGAGCGAGAAATCGAATCCGCATTGAAGGGAATTGGGAATTATATCAGATCATCTTTTGAATTGGGTTGGTTATCTTTTGAGAAACGTCAATAGAGCAAAAATATAATTTTGGCGTGTCAAAAAGAGTCAAGAAGATGGAAGGAATTATTAAACTTGAAATGATTTTAAAATAATATAAAATTATATTATTCGATTATCTGCCATGGGCAGAAAAAATCCTTCTTCAAAAGTAGCCCTTAATAAAAATGAACAAATTGTTTCACAATTTTTATGAGAATTTTCTCTCACAAAGGTTAATTCGGATCGTAAATTTTGGCAAAATTAATCTTATCTTATAATTACGTTCAGATCTGTTGGATTTACAAAGTTGGGTCATTTTTGTCTAGCTCTCAATAAAAGGAATATAGCGCCCATTTTTGGCACCACCGTGCTCATAAAACGACTACGCTGCTCACTTCTATGCATACAACCGCACCTCAATGCGTTCAATAAAGTTTTATGGGAGCTGAAAATAAGCAAACATTCTTCCAAACTCTATATAGCTCAGCGCGTGCGGTCTCGGGCTGGAATTTTAAAAAGTCGTAAAGAGAAAAGAACAAATAAAATAGCGCCGCCCTTTGAGCTCTGTGATAATTTCGAAACGAGATCCGCCGCGGCAGGGACGAAAAGAAAAGCTGCCGGCTAATTAAGAGAATCCGTATGTCATCGTTGGAGACACTGAACCTTTGTGACTTCTTAATTTTTCACTCCACGTTGTCCGAGAGAAGAGAGCGATGTCGAGAGTGATGATTCATTTCATTTCCCGTCCGGTGTCTTAATTAATGAAAGCAAACAAGTGTGGAAGTTTTCAGACTTAAATAACCGCGTTGATATTATTTTTTTATCCAAACAAAATATTATTTGAAATCAAATTCTTTCAATGCAATTAAAAAAAATCCTACTCAGAGTGAGTTGGGAGAGTAATTTAATTTTGATTAATAAAAGAGCTCCGTTTTTTTTTCAGTAATCCAATCAAGCAGGAATTAAACGGATTAGCTCTGCAGACAAAACAATCTCGCTAATGTGCTCGGAGCTGTTAGATGTGCCGGCAGGGACTGGGCGAAAATTCAAGGGGATGGTTTGGCTTGCAGCCCTCGCTGCTCTCTCGGCGGTCAATACTTCCCTGTGTGCACGTACGTCAACGAACCCAGCCCAATTGCAGGTGACGTCACGCACACTCGGAACAAAGGACCGCAAATTACCCTTCTGGAAGCGTCGAGAAAGAATTGCTCCATGCGCAAATGCGGGTCAGAGACAATTTTTCAAAAGGAATTTTATCTCATTTTAATGCTCTTTTAAATTGAAAACGATAAAAGTGCTTATATATTATAAAGAAAAATATATAATAAAAAACTAAGCCAGTAAACAATAATTCGTTTTTTAAATCATTAATAAAACATATATAATAAAACGTATGAATAAATTATATCAATTACCTGACTTGAAAAGATCAGTTTAAAAATGTTGTTCCCGGTGTGTTTCAATAATTTTTGCATCAACTGGGCTTTTTCATATTTTAAAATACAAATTTTTCTTTTCATTTATAATTTGACATAGAATATTAAATTTCCAACACCTTTGCTCTCAAATTATGAGTTGAAATTGCTTAAAAGAACCAGCTGACAATTCCCAGTAACTTATATTGTGTGTTTTGTTTTTTTATTTTGTTGTAAGAAATAAACGAATCAAATTGAATGAAACACCAAATCGTGCCAGAGGCGGCCACAATGAAGATGCTTCTTTTTTCCGACAATAGTATGGTAGGTTTTTTATCCTTTCCCCTGGCATGCGTGAAAGAACATTCTCTGGCGTGCCCCGTCGGATAAAAAACAGCACGTGATGCCCTCACTGTGTCCGCTAATTTTACCCGTGTTCAATTTTAGAGAAGCGCGAGCTAAGAGATTTTTTCTTTTGCGTATGTAGGAGTCACATGAGTTTGATTTTTTGACAAGGTGGATGTGTCTCATCCGTCGGGGAACAAAAAAAACAAATCACCCCCGTTTTTAATTGTCCGAAACGTGATGGGGCGG